GGTTTTCTTTTCCTTTTATAACTATTTCATTCCTTTCAAATTCTGTTATTGGTTTTTTGCAGGGTAAGGAAGAGATATTCAAAACAGCTACTTGTTTGTTTGTTTTTTTAAAGCCAGGAAATTAAAATCTCCTTTAATCTCCTTTAATACTCAGGGATGTTTATCTGCCATTTTACTGGAGAGCCACTAAAGATTTGTGTCATAACACATTATTTGCACTATATGACATTGCTGTGTTAAATGCACTGGCCTAACTAGGTAATGATCAAAGAAGATGCATTACAGTAAGCCATTTTATGTAACCTAATAGATCAAGAGTTTGTCTGATATTAGGTTGTTTTTTTTTTAAATGAAGCTTATTTTGCAAGAAACCCCCCCCCCAAGCAATAGGCTTACGCAAATGCAGATTAAACATTTAAAGATATCCAATTCTTGATCTGATGGCAGGAATAAAAATGTGATGCATTTCTAATAGACTCTGTGGGAATAACGCATTAAATAATGACGCCCGGCAATATGTTTAGAGGTATATCAACAAAAGGATCTGAAGAAACTAGGTTTGATCTATCTCATAAAGGCGCTGATCTGTCTCCATTTCCCAAATGTCTGAAATTGCTTGATCAGCTTCTCAAACGCCTCCAGTGCGATGTCAGTTTTGCAAAAGGCTGTTATTTTTTTCCTGCACTTTCAAACATTCCTTCCCTCCATCGTTTTCGCTCATGCTTTGGAGAGGAGCGCTAAGAAAACTCAGGGATGCTTCCAGTTTAAAACCTGACCCCGGGAAGGAGAAAGAGAGAGGGGAAAAAAACAAACCCAAGCCGGAGGCAAGAGTAAATAGAGAATATGCATTCAGCTGTTATATGGGTTTATGCTTGGCTTCTTAGGAGAATGAGTACAAATTGGTTGTGCCAAAAGGAAGGATATAAAGGCACGTCTTTCCAGCAGGGTAGAATTGCACAACTGTTCTCAGGAGCAATTCTGGGTCTAAAGAGAGAAATATCAGAATAATTTAAGGGAATCAACAAGGACTTTGTTATGGGTGAGGATAGAGAAGACAGAAGAGAGGAAGTCCAAAGTAGAGTTGTCTCATGAAGTTTTCAGGCACGGATATTGAACGGGTCTAGCCAAGAAGATTTTGGAATGAACAAGGTTGAACCCTGCAATGGACAAGAGGTAATAGCTTTGCACGGGTGGTTTGGATCTTAGGATCTCCTTCGCTGCTAGCAGAGTATTTCCTATTATTTATAGGGAGGGTGTCCTAGAAGAGGTTAAAAAAATATTCAACTATGCTACAGATCTGAGCTGCAGTGACCCAGGTATTCTGGGAGTTATACAAGGTTGTTACCTACAATTCTGTGGAACATGAAATGGACCAAGAGGAGACTTTATGAAAAGATTACTCCATATCTAGAGCATCCTCAGTGAGAAGTTTCTTCCTCCAGTGATCACTAGTCCTTCCTCCACACCCTGAAAAGGACCTCCATAAATACAGTATTTCTCCATGGATGTCTACAAGAAGGTCCTCCTTTAGGCAATGTGTGTCCTCCTCAACTCTTTTGGAGAAGGACGTATAGGGAGAAGATGGAGACCTGTTTTCCATCTCCATTCCTTCCACACTGTCCTCCTCAACTTGATGAGAAGATCTGTGGAGACATTCTTGCTATTACAGACAAAGGATCTCTGAGCTTGGTTGGTTTCTTGCAGACGTTTCATTACATAACTAGGGAACATCATCAGTGCTAGAAGGGAGTGGGGTTGGTTCTCTGTTTATTTACAAGTGGCTTCCTTGTCAATGTTGGTGGGAGAGTATTCTATGTATTGCCTTCTCAGGAGCCCCTCTTTCATTTTCTAACTAGAGAGAGGTGGTTTCCATATGGGTATGAAGTGTTCTAATCACACCGCCTTGTTTTCTCCTAATGTGCTGGACCAGCCTTCCCTGAGGCAGAGTGAGTAGAAAAAAGAAGGAGAGAGAAATAGCCAAAAAGGTCCCTTGGCAGTTTGCTACAGTTCCCCTCTGTAGGAGACCGAACTCTAAGCATGTCACACCTGATCTCCTGAATTTAATCCCTCTAAACTGCTTCACATGCAGTCATATACATGGACTTCTTTGTCACGTCCAAATGCCCTCTTAATAGATTTTGCGGTCTTCTCTTTTTAAATTGCAGAGCACAAAAGGTTGGTAGTTTGGAAGTTGTGATGGGATATGAGAAGGACCTGGGGCATCAGGAGGAAGGGCTACAGAGTAGACACAGATTGTGCTATAAAAGATATCTCGGCTCACAGAAAGAAAAGAGGCGTGGGAAGCATCTGAGAACGGACTCTCCCTAGTCTTCTGGAAAATAAATATAAAGGAAGGGAGAAGATCTATGGAGATTCTCAATCATCCAGGTCATGGTTGTCCCAAAGGTGCCTTTTCCCCCCAAAAGGGAACTGGACTTTCTTGTTTTTTCCAAAAGGCAACGGGATTTTCTTGGTTTTTCCAAAAGGCAGCCGGACTGCCTTGGTTTTTTTTCCCCTTGAAAATGTTTTGCTTCTCATCCAAGAAGCTTCGATGAAGAACTGAAGGACTCAAGAAGCTTCTTGGATGAGAAATGAAACATTTTCAAGCAAAACCCCCCAAGAAAGTCCAGTTGCCTTTTGGAAAAACCACCTTTGGGTAAAGGAAGGGAGGAATAGTCGCAGACTTGCAACATTTTATTACTGTAGTCTTAAAGTAGTGTTAGTGCACCTGGTTTGTGCTTATGGTTTGGACTACCTCAAAGGGCTGACAGATGCTGGACAAAGACCAGGAAATCTTACTTCAAATCCTTCCATTGCAGCTAAAAGACCTTTGGAGACTTGGGACCAATTGCTAGCTCTCACGTCCATCCACCTCACACATTTTGGAAATTTCACATTGGATCAGGAAGGTCCTTATATATGATCCTTTGGAAGAAAGAGAGCAAATGCATCAATAAATAAACACCCATTTCTCTCTGTTTCTTTTAAGGTTTCATCTTTTATTCATTTCTCTCCCCCTCCCCCCCTTCAATGCCCAGAGGACGTCAGCCTTTCCTTTCACCACATCTCTATTATTTGCAGACCATGGACCAACCATGGCTACAGGCCTCCCTGGGGACAGATGCTCTCGCGCCCTGGGTGACTTCTTGGTGTGGTTGTCTAGTCAGCTTTGGCAACAGCCGGGTGTAAGATGGGAACAAAAGAATTGGCCAGTAATAGCCAGTAATAGGAGCCTCGGTGTTGAATCGACTGCTATTGTATAATGCAGAACTTCCTGGAAAGGGCACCAAAGAGATAAAAGCTTTCTGGGTCGCCCTGTGTGTGTTTATGTGTGTTTGTATGTGTGTGTATGCATGCTTGTGCATGCGCTATGAAGAACGTAGCCACCAACTCCTTTAATACATCATGAACTGGGGAAAAGACCAGTTTTTGCTCTTCAAATCTTCCTTCCTCCCTCCCTCCCTTCTTCTCACCCTCCCTCCCTCCCTCCCTCCCTCCCTCCCTCCCTCCCTCCCCCCTCCTTTCCTTCCTTCCTTCCTTCCTTCCTTCCTTCCTTCCTTCCTTCCTTCCTTCCTTCCTTCCTTCCTTCTTCTTATTGTATGCTGAGCAAAAGTGACTGCTCTGTTTTTATCTCATCAGGAGCCAGTCACTATCTCTTCACCTTGTCTCCTATAACCTTTGGATGTAACTGAGTAGTAATTGCTTAATGCAGCCTGGAAGCTTTTAGCCTCAGTCCTTGGGTTGGATGGATTAGAAGCAACATGTCAGGTGAACATAAAATGCGGTGGAGATATTTCTCGGAAAAGCTAGCAGTGGCCCCGGTTTTCTACGACTACCATCCAGAGATGCGTATTTTCCAGTCATCACTACCAATCTCCACCATAGCTCTTCACGGAATAAAAGGAGGACTTGAAAGGAACTGTTGGCGGGTGGAATAATTTGGGGTAGCCAAGCATCTTCCTTTAGATCAGGGTTTTTCAAGGGGTGCCCAAGCTCTTGGGAATGGCTGTCGATGAGGCGCTAATGAAAAGGTGATGGAGAGCATCTTCCCCCCTCCTTCATTTGCAAGTCAAGAAAATTGAAACGTTTAACTCTTGCCTACCTTTTCAGTGTCTGTGGATTTATAACACTGTAGTTGTTAGGATTAATAGTCTCACGAAACAAAGTATGAAGCTTACTTCCTTCCTCTTTCCCTCCCTCACTTTCTTGCCCTTCTCCTTTTTCCTTCCTTCCTTCCTTCCTTCCTTCCTTCCTTCCTTCCTTCCTTCCTTCCTTCCTTCCTTCCTTCCTTCCTTCCTTCCTTCCTTCCTTCCATCCTCCCTGGTTTCATTCAACAACTGCAGCAAGTCCCTTAACAAGAGTCTCGCTAGGCCAGTGGTTCTCAACCTGTGGGTCGGGACCCCATTTGGGGTCGAACGACCATTTCACGGGGGTCGCCAAACAACGCAGTCCGCCATTTTTCCCCCTTTTCTTTAGCTGTGCTCCTCCCTTTTATTCGATTGGCTTTTGAAAGCCAAAGAAGAGACTCTCTTGAATAGAGTCTAATTCTATTGGCTTTCCAAAACCAATAGGAATTGTCCAGGCTGTCTCTGCCCTGCTGAGCCCGCCAAAAGTCCCATTCTGCAAACGGTGCTGCACCAGTTGAGTAGTCCTCGACTTACGACCGGTTGAGTAGTCCTTGACTTACGACCGGTTGCGGGTCGCAACATTAAAAAGGTTGAGAACCACTGCGCTAGGCAGTGGAAATTCTAGTTCTAACTGTGGTCATAAGTTGAGGACAACCTGTAACTCAACCGAGCTAGATGCTTCCATCTCCTGTAGTCCTCCCTCCGCAGAGCCTCTCCTGCTTCCAGAATTGGAGCTACGGATGTGATGGAGCCGGGGGGGGGGGGAACCGATGGGGGGAGATTTCAACAAACTTGCTATTTCTTCCTCCGTCTGATGGAAGATCAGACCTTCATCCACAGAGTCCAAATATTTCTCTGTCTTCCATCTGGCAGGTGAAAGAGGATCCAGCTGGACCAGGACAACCTGCGTTGACGTCCCACACAAATGACTGGCACCTGGCAAATCCCGAAAAGGAATCCATCACCTTTGTCCTCCACAGTGCCTCCAACCTGCCCTCAACGCGCAAGGGGAATGCCCCCCACCCGTATGTCATTGTGTGAGTAGCGCTCCCTTTTCAAACTTCTGCAAAGATTCTGAATCTTGCCTTGTTTTTCTTTATTATTATATTTCTATCCTGCCCGTGTTATTTTTTATAAATAAGTCAGCCAATAATACTCATCCCTCTTCCTATTTTTCCTAAAACAACACACACCCCCACCCCCTGTGAGGTGGTTTGGGTTGATACAGAAGAGTTGGCCTAGTCACCCAGACAGCTTTCATGGCTCAGACAAGACTAGAACTCATGTCACCTGGTGATGGGCCCAAAGTTACTCCGCTGGCTTTTATGCTTAAGGCAGGACTTGGTCTCACCGTCTCCTGGTGATTGACTCAAAATCACCCAGTCAGCTTTCATGGCTAAGGCAGGACTAGAACTCGCCGTTTTTAGGCCAGCTCCTTAACCACTACGCCAGTGGTTCTCAACCTTTTTAATGCTGCGACCCCCAACCGGTCGTAAGTCGAGGACTACTCAACCGGTTGTAAGTCGAGGACTACTCAACTGGTGCAGCACCGTTTGCAGAATGGGACTTTTGGCGGGCTCAGCAGGGCAGAGACAGCCTGGACAATTCCTATCGGCTTTTGAAAGCCAATAGAATTAGACTCTATTCAAGAGAGTCTCTTCTATTGGCTTTCAAAAGCCAATAGAATAAAAGGGAGTAGCACAGCGAAAGGAAAAGGGGGGAAAAATGGCGGACTGCGTTGTTTGGCGACCCCCATGAAATGGTCGCCACAGGTTGAGAACCACTGCACTACGCCAACCTCCTCAAATTGTGTTCGCAAAGGAGGATTGTGCCAAGGGTTTCAATGGTTCCTGTTTTCATGATCATCAGATAGGTAGGTTTGCATCTAAGCAATGAAGTAGGTTGTAAATTCAATATCCATGGCATTTGATACCACAGTGCCTTTCCTAATACCCCAGTGTGGTCTCTGGTTGTTTACAAATACGTTCTAAATTCCAGGAGTAAAAAAAGTAAAGAAATAATGATATAGACCAGTGGTTCTCAACCTTGGGTCGGGACTCCATTTGGGGTCGAACGACCATTTCACGGGGGTCTCCAAACAACACAGTCCGCCATTTTTTCCCCCTTTTCCTTAGCTGTGCTACTCCCTTTTATTCTATTGGCTTTTGAAAGCCAATAGGAATTGTCCAGGCTGTCTCTGCCCTGCTGAGCCTGTCAAAAGTCCCATTCTGCAAACGGTGCTGCACCAGTTTAGTAGTCCTCGACTTATGACCGGTTGGGGGTCGCGGCATTAAAAAGGTTGAGAACCACTGATATAGACTCTCATTCAAGGTGTGTTGGAACGAAAGCCCCAGTTCTGACAGATGGGATGAGACGTGGGCAGGGCAAGACCCCCAGGACACAATGCCCACAATTGGAGCTTATGAAGGATTCTAGCTGATTTGCTCTCCCAGGTCAGAGAGAGAAACATCGCATGCTGGAGGAGTCAGACGTTCTACAATTTTTTACATTGAATAAATGAAATGGAGCTGCACAGACTTTTCCTCTGGGGGGGGTCTAATCATGGCACCCTGGGACTCAATTACAGCCTGGCGGTGTGGGCTGGCTGATTAATTGAAAGGGCATTGCTGAGTGAGTTTGGGATCAGAAGGACGTCTCTTGAAAGCGGGAGGGAGCCGAGCTGAGTCTCTTTCTCTGGAGCCCCAACGCTTTGCAAAGCACCTTCAGACTTCAGAGGGGAGGTCCCAGAATCCCAGGGAAAAAAGGGAAAAAGCAAAGAAAGGCATGGATTTTGCATTTGCAGCACGAAACCCTCTTTTACACCCAGCTCTACCCCTGGGGGAGGGGTTTCGTGCAGGAAGAGTTTGATGATCTGCAGAGGGATAAACAAAAGGGAAAGGCGGATATCTATATTAACAATAAACAAATGCCACCGGCAAGAAAAGCGATCTATCCCGGAGTGAAATTGGATGGATTTGGTGGTCCTCCTCATCCTCCTCCTCTTCTTCTTCTTCTTCTTCTTCTTCTTCTTCTTCTTCTTCTTCTTCTTCTTCTTCTTCTTCTTCTTCTTCTTCTTCTTCTTCTTCTTCTTCTTCTTTATTTATTTATTAATTTATGAGACTTATATACCGCTTTAAGTGCAAGCACTCTCTAAGCGGTGTACACCAGTAAGCAATGTATATATATATTTACATTGCCCCCAACAATCTGGGTCCTCATTTTACCTTCCCCGGAAGGATGGAAGGCTGAGTCAACCTTGAGCCGGTGAGATTTGAACCACTGACCTGCTGAACACAGTCAGCTAAAGTGGCCTGCAGTACTACATTCTTCTTCTTCTTCTTCTTCTTCTTCTTCTTCTTCTTCTTCTTCTTCTTCTTCTTCTTCTTCTTCTTCTTCTTCTTCTTCTTCTTCTTCTTCTTCTTCTTCTTCTTCTTCTTCTTCTTCTTCTTCTTCTTCTTCTTCTCCTCCTCCTCCTCCTCCTCCTCCTCCTCCTCCTCCTAGACAAAACAAAACAGAAATACATCAGCTCTTTCGCAGGCTAGGAGGCTACAAAAAGCACAGGAGGTCTCAGCACATTTTGAAGTAATTAAGAAGAAGAGAGCTTTGTTTGTTTGTTTGCTTGCTGGAAACCACACTGGACACTTTGAGAAAAGGCAAGAGACCCCAAGGGTGCGGTGATGAAATGGGAATGTGGTCATTTGTCCTTTTGGGGTTGATGGGAGATAATTATTCCTCCTCCTCTTTTCCTCCTCCTCCTCCTTCCTGGCCTCAGACTGTCATGATGGTGATTTTCAGGATCTTATCTTTCCCATTTATCATCTGAACCAAACTTTCACCAAATCTTTCTTCTGTTCATCTCTCGCCACCCCTTGTAAAATAAATAGAAGAGAGTATTTCTAGTTCAGGGTTGATCTGTGAGTTTCCTTGGTGCTCTCTGAGCTTGGTGGTTCTCTTCCAGACTTTTCATTACCCAACTGGGGAATCAAAACACTTACGACGATACCTAGTTGGGAAACGAAACATCTGCAGGAAAACAACGAAGCTCGGGGAGCACCAAAGACCCACCCACCTTATAAAATTGCTGTAAGTGGTTCAGAAAACTCACCTTCACATGGAAAGTTGGGTTATAAATACATTGAAATAGTCTTGGCTAAAGAACCGGGTGAAATAAAGAGAAGGGAATGGCCTTCTTTGAACAGGTTCAGGCTGTAGAAATCAGGTGGTGACTTGTCCTTGGGGCGAAAAGACCATGTGAGAAAAGGCAAGTTGGTTGCTGGTCAAAGAAAGCACTGGGAGGGTTTCCTTCAAAAGCTATCAACCCTCTGGGAATCCTGTCTCATTAAGCCTCAGGCTTTGCCCGCAGCCTCTGCAAACCTGCAACGTTGAACTCATAAATACACTGTCTGGTTGACTGGAGGAAGGGAGCAGCTGCTTGAGAAGGGAAATCGTACGGAGAGGTAGAAGAGAGATGGCTTTTTGGAGGGGACTGCCTCAAACTATTACACCTTAGGAGGTTTCAATGTCTTCATCTTCAACCCTAAAGGACATACGTCTCTCCTTCTACATCAGAGGCGTCCAACCGTGGCAGCTTTAAGACTTGTGGATTTCAACTCTCAGAATTCACCAGTCAGCCAGGCTGGCTGGGGAATTCTGGGAGTTGAAGTCCAGAGGTCTTAAAGTTGTCAAGGTTGAACACCCTGGGTCTACATCAGGGGTCTTCAAACTTGGCCCTTTTATGACTTGTGGACATCAACTCCCAGAATTCCTCAGCCAGACACACTGGCTGAGGAATTCTGGGAGTTGAAGTCCACAAGTCATAAAAGGGCCAAGCTTGAAGACCCCTGGTCTTGATCAATCAATGCACGTTGCAAAAAGGTTCCGATTTGTGGTTGTGGCTGCAGTTTGAGCCTCTCTCTCTCTCTCTTTTTTTAAACTACTCCACTCTTGGTTTCCCCAAATTCATTGAAAGGGATCCAGTTTTCTACAGATGGAGGCAGGTATGATATAACAGTAAAATATTTTTCTTTATGCTTTTTTATTGAAGATGTCTCCCCATGCAACGATATACCCTGAATTAACTTAGAGATGAGCCTAGACCAGGGGTCTTCAAACTTGGCCCTTTTATGACTTGTGGACTTCAATTCCCAGAATTCCTCAGCCAGACACGCTGGCTGAGGAATTCTGGGAGTTGAAGTCCACAAGTCATACAAGGGCCAAGTTTGAAGACCCTTGCTCTACCTAGATAGCAGTGCGTTCACTTATGGATTCAAAGCATCAACTGCACCAACGTTGTGATCAACAGCCTTGGCTTGGCTATAAAGGTTTTTCTCCCCATCGGATGATTTCCTTAAGATTCTGTGGTGACTGTAGGGCTCGTTTGTTCATTCTTCTTGCTTTCCTTCCTTCCTTCTAAATATTTAGAGGTTTAAAAATATTAAGAGATTTCATTCGGGTCCTCCTGTTCAAAGTTTATTTGCAGTCCAAAGGATCATTTTTTGTTCTATTATTAATAGGTCTTTAATCAGTTTTTCTTGTAAGGAAAGTAAGCAAATATCATTGATAAATAAATCAACACTCCTGTTTCTGTGGGTGAGCAGGATGGAAGCTTTTATAAGGGGCTATTTTAAGAGCCTCTCTCTCCCTCCCTTTTTCTCTTTCTCTTCTCTTTCTCTCTCCTTTCCTCCCTCTTTCCCTGTCTCTTTTTCTTTCCTTTCTCTCTCTCCTTCCCCCCTTTCTTTTTCTCTCTCCTTTCCTCCCTCTTTCTTTCTCTTTCTTTCTCCTTTCCTCCCTGTCTCTGTCTCTTTTTCTTTCTTTTTCTCTTTCCTTTCTCTCTCTCCTTCCCTCCCTCTTTCTCTTCTTTCCTCCCTTTCTGTCTCTTTTTCTTTCCTTTCTCTCTCTTTCCCTCCCTTTCTTTTTCTCCTTTCCTCCCTCTGTCTTTTTCTTTCTCTCTCTCTCCTTCCCTCCCTCTTTCTCTTTCTCTCTCCTTTCCTCTCTGTCTCTTTTTCTTTCTCTCTTTCCTTTCTCTCTCCTTCCCTCC